ATCACCTGAGAATGAGAACTCCTATATGCTACCAGGTGAAGATGGGGAAGTGGGAGATACCATTTCCAGGAATCTGGGGTTGTGGGTTTCAGATGACTGCACCAGGGCCAGCATCCAGGATGCCTCAGGAAATGGGCAGAAAGAGACTCCACCGCAGCTGCCCACTCTCTGAGTCCAAAGGGTACTGAAGGCCCAGGATGTAGCCAAGGAAGTTGGAAAACCCAGCAGCTGAGGTGTCTGATGGACGGAGGCAGAGCTTCTCTTCACTGTCTCCTGTGGAATGTGCCTGGGTGTCTGCGTGAGGACTGGATCTGTGTGTAGGAGGGTGTCAGTGTATGAGACTGTGAATCTGTCAGAGAGCGCAGGTCTGTGTATGTGTCATGGTGTCTGTGTGGGTCTCACCTTCTGCCCCTTCTCTCCTCCCTATCCTGTGCTGCCCACGATTCTGTTTCCTGAGCCCTCACTTATTTCCTGCCCCCACATGGTTCCAGACTTACTGAGGACTATGCCTTCTCTTTCATGTCTCTCATTCCCTCTACTGCTCTTAGATCTAGCATGGCCCTTTAAAAGCCTCCACTTATTTTAGTGAAAACTGGAACCCAGAGAGAGGAGAGAACTGGTTCAGAGTTATGAAACAAACCAGTAGAAGGGTCCAGATGAGCACCTAGACCGACTCCATGCCATCTGCCTGGATGTCCCTCTCCAAATCTCGGCTACCAATGTCCACCACACACCTTCCTTACCTCCATGTGCTATCTGGGAAAACCACAGCTCTGTTTTCTTTCCTGGCCTCAGTGGGGCCATCTTGTCTGAGCTTCAGGCCAGGATATTTGATACCCAGGAAATATCCATCTTTAAGGGTATCCCACCACACTTCTGATTCAGCATGGACCAAATCAGACATCCTCGGCTGATGCTGGTTCTTCTCTCTCCATTATCCCTTCCTACCCTCTGACTTCTTAGGGAGGAAGCTCTATCTTAGTTACCTTCAGTTTTCTCCTCTCTCTTTCTCCTAGGTCCAACTTGTCATCAAGTCCTGGCATTTCTTCTTTTGAAGTGCTGCTAGAACCTTCTCTATGTTCTCTCTCTCTGGTGGTCAGGGGGCTCAACCCATGTGTCTATGGTCTGCAACTGCAGCTTTTCTTCTGATTCCTCTGTTCTGGTTTTGCACAGAAGCATAGTATAGACTAGAGGAGCCATGCCCATAGGCTCTTCACGCTCCAAGGTCTTCTAGAAATTGACCTCAAGGTGCCCACCTGTCTAGCCCAAGCACCCACTGCTCCCCTCTCAATCCCACACTCCTTTCAAGCTAGACATCTCATCTATTCTTCTAGCTGTTGTTCACACCTAGGCTGATGCAGGCTATAATCAGTCTTGAAGGCTGGGCTGAAGCCCACTCCTCATGATCAGCCTCTCCCAGTCAGAGGCATGGGCTCAGCACATGGATAGCCACTACCAGTGTGTAGACTTCAGGGTTCTCTGATCTTCACCTGGTGCTGCTCTAGAATGACAGGATGGAACTTGATTTGATTTGGTTTCTCTCAAAGACTGGCCTGAGCCAGGAAGTTCCCAGACCTTCTTGCGTCTGGAGCTTATTGCCTCACCATATGGCCTAGTCAGCCTTTGAACAATTTGCACAGTATGCAAGCCCTTTCCCCTTTGTTTGAAGTTTGCCCTCTTGTAGCTCCCCATCACTAGCTCCAGTTCTGTGCTCTGTGGCTGCACAGAACTGCCCTGCAGAGACATAAAGGCAGTGTCTGGAATACAACCTTTGGTGCATTACACAAGAGGGGCAGAAGCCCCTCCTTCCTCGTTGGAACTTACGTCAGGCGATTTTATTTATTTGTGTTCTCCTGCCATCACAGCCACTTCAGAGACAAGGGAACCCAGACCCAGGGAAAGGAAGGCTTCACCTAAGGTCAGCCAGAGCTCAGCAGCAGCAAAGTGAAAGCCAGAACCCAGCTGGGGGCATTTTCTTAGAGCTCTGGCCCTGCTGAACATGGGCAGACTCCTTTGCTTAACTCTTCAGGGCTACCTTCCAGCTGGGAAGGAGCTAGCACTGTCTCCTACACAAAGCCAGTGTCCTCTCTGTGTGCTGAGGCATCTTCCAGAGGGTAGGACACAATGTTGTGGGCTTAGATTGGAGAGGTGGCAGTAAGGGTGGGAGGGGCTAAGGAAGGCAATAATCCCACACCCTCACCAGCTTCAGAGGAGCTGGTGCTGAGGCGGTTGCCATAGTGATAACAGCTCCCTGGTCAGGAGATTTTTTTCTCTTTCCTCTTGCTCTTCTCCAAGCAGCAGCAATAGCAGCATCAACAGTCAGGTCTTTGGGCTTCAACTGAGCTAATGAGTGGCAGGGCATATTATACAAAGGGTGGGCTCTGTTGATTACTCCAATCTCAGGGCTGTCCATGCCAGGGTGGACTGGTGGTCCAGGAGGCACTCCTAACTGTAAAGGCCTGGAGAATGTGTGGCCTGAGTAAGAAGCAGTGCCCTCTCAGTGAGAAATAAAGTCCTTCAAAGCCTTCTCTCCGAAATGCCCTTATGGTTCAGAGAAACAGCAAAAAAGAAAACAAAAAAACAAAAAAACATTTCCCATAATCTGCCACCGAAGCAGAGCGTGTCAGTGTTGGAGGGCTGTTAAAGATCATTTCATTCAGTCCACCCCCTGTCCTGTGATGGAGTAAGGAAAGTGACTTGGCCAAAGTCAAACAACAATTTGGGGCAAAGGAAAATTGAAACCAGCTTTGCCCTTGAGGTCAAGTTTTCCTGGGAAAAGGAGCAACACAGTTCACATGGAGCTTTGGCATGGCCCCATCGGGGCAACAGGAAGATGATGAGGGAAGGCGCTGGGCTAAAGAAGGACAGAGAGGGTACAAATGCGAAAGAGACCAGAGAGAGAGAGAGAGAATGAGAAGACTTGGACATAGGCGCTTACTTGGCAGCAGTGACAGAG